CATTGCCAAAGGATAGCTGACCTTTTGGTTTAGGCACGCACGCGACAAAACTCACGATACCATCCACACTATCTGGACGCCTGGCGATGTACCACTATACACTCTGTGGAATCGTAATCGGTGATTTTTCCGAACTGATACGACTTAGGGACCTTCAAGAAAAGAGTTTATTACTTTCTAAAAGACTGGCAACGCACCTGCAATACCTTACCGTCCTCCACTTATATAAAAAAATATGATAAATAACATAATTCTGAGTGCAATACACATGCATAATAACAAAAACATGACGATCAAGACGCACACGCCATTGTGCGCGCCTGGCGTATCGATCTTCATGTTATTGGATAATTATCGATACCTTTGTTCGTATCTAGTACAAACTATATTCCTTGTTCCCCCCATATTCCTTGTTCATTCGATTCATCACAATAATTGATCTTTAAACAGTTCACTGCTGATCATGAGTCTCTATAATCACTAAATCGGCAATTTGCTAACGGATTTGCGGCACTGGCCCAGGATAGCCAACATATATGTCGATGCCTACCACCTAGTAAAGGGAATGGTGGGTAATAAAGATCTATGGAAATCGGGATGATAATCCTGCCATTTAACGAAGGCTTGTGGTGATTAGTTTTCTAATTCCAACACCATTTGACAAAGAAATAATACGAGTATTCGGAATTTATTTCATGTTCAGAATTTAGGATTTACTTTACAGTATTGTAAAAGTTGAAAATTGTTCATATTTTTTATTGGTGACAATTTACTTCTAAAGTATGATATACATTGTCTTAGTCACTAGAATAGAATCATTTAGTCTTTTCAGCAGTTATAGACGTTACACAAGCATATTACAAACGTATACAAGAGTATCATATGACAAGAGCTATATATATTACATAGTGATTATAATGATATTTCACACAATGATTTATCGCAATGCTACTCAAATTAATATGTTTTTATTAGTGTAACACGATTCCAAGTTAAAACATATGTCAAGCACTAGTAATAATACTTTGTTGAATTGCGTAAAAGGAAACTCAGTTCAGTTTAAAGTTTCAGCTAAAATTTCCATTTACATGACTTAACCGAAAATCAAGGAAAGTTATCATTATATCAAAATATGCGTGTGATGTGAAGGAAAATGGCAGTCCATAGAATCTACGAGTACTGCTCTCTAAACTCAGGGTTTCGGGCTCAAGGGACAGCACGTCCGAGGTTAACGAAATGATTTGTATTCAAAGAAGCGCGGCTATTTTAATGAATTAAATGGGTAATAATTATGGGCTTCTGTATATTATTATTATATAACTGGGTATTTCTACAAACATGTAAAATGTATTTGCAGTTAAAATTAAAAATTATTTACAAATTTTCGAATAATAATTATAATTATGAATTTTATTTTATTGTTACTTTTAAAAGATAAATTTCTGACTTGATTCTTAGTTAATTTTAAACAATTAGTCCTTTCACGCTTCATACGGCAAAAACAAAAAATACACTTTAATGTTGGTCAAAATTGTATTCATTTGGTATATATTATATCATATTCAATTGCTTGGGGGAGGCCTATGTTCAGCAGTGGACTTGTGAAGGGCTGTAATGATGATGATGATGATTAAATTCAAAACAATTCATAGATTTTCTGAGCACTGGCGCGTCATCTATTCATCATTTTTTAAATAAAATTAAACTGAAAAACTTACTGGACTGTGAATGACTTGAGGACTGTAATTGATGGTAATTGGCTATTGAAGCCAACTTCAAACAAAGGAGTCTACAAATGCGTTGTCACACCGCAGAGCCAAGATGGAGTGCCTCACGACAGCCCACAGACCACAGCAGTGCCAGCCTTTAATTATACACAGGTACATAATCAAAAGCGAAGGAGATCCAGGTGGACTTCAAGGCAGAAAAAGTCATACCACCTTCATAGTAGATATACCTATCACCTAGGAGTATATTTTAAGTGATATCAAAACCATATTCAAATTCAACTAATTGTAAGTGAAAACGCACTTACATCACAAGAATATAATTTATTTATTCACGTGCTACATATCTACCTGACAATTTGCAACCAACCTAATTTGCAACCAACATGGTTTTAGGTGCATACGTTGTGTGCGTAGCGCATGTTCTCATACAATAAAATGGGCATGGTATCGCCGTCACTTGTGACGTACGAGCATTCTATCTTTCTGATTGTGTTACGATTGTTCCCGTTTCCTTGACACTGCGTATAATGAAGCATTACATCGAACACGGAACGATAGAATCATAGGGTGCGTTTGGCAGAAAAAAGCGCTAGCAAGCGCTTGTAAGCAAAATGGCGATCGTAAGCGGTAAGCGCTGTCAAATCGTAAGTAGCTATTTTCCCCTAGGACACGAAGTTAGTTTTAACCGGGGAACCTAACCTAATTTAAATATATGTTTGTAAAGTATTCATACTAAAAACTTACCAATCATGAATTTTTAATAACATGTATATGTCTATTCATGTCATTATATTACATAAAACTAATATTGCACAAAAAATCTTACAAAATCTACTTCAAAACAAACAAATTAAATAAGCAAAATGGCGGATTGTGTCAGCGCTACTGAAGTAGCAATCGTGTCCTGGCCGAAAACTATTTCAGCGCTTGTAAGCGCTTGCTAGCGCTTTTTTCTGCCAAACGCACCCATAGAGTAATGTAATAAACCTGAACTATAGTAACCTATTGCGAGATTTTTTGAGATTGTATTTTTATTGGATACAATAAATATAATAAGTATACCCCTGAGTTACAGTTGTGACACAGTGCTCGATGCCATGTTTGTTTGTAGTTTCTGACAGCATTTAGATTTTATTGCCAGCATTTTTGCAACTTAGACCCTGACGTTAGTGTGTAATATAAAATAGATTTAAAAACAGATACTATAAACATTATATGAATGATATATTCTTCCCAAACGTCAATATATTTATATATTAGGAGTTGCGCAGTTATTAGTCAATTAATATGGACTTATGGTAGTAGTTTTAGGTTTGGTATACTAGGTTGGCCATTTGTTGGAACCATCATATCGCAAAAATGTTTTTAACATTGACATATTTTTTATGAAATATTTTTAAATATTGAAATATTATAAACCATGTCGTGCACCAATATTTTAGATAAACATCCGGTTTTAAGTGTAGATACAAGTGTTGTTTTTACGGGAAATGGCTTTACTCCAAACTCAGTAAGGACATCAGTAAACATGGGCGTGGAATAAATACATAAATGCTCGTTATATATGCGGGCACACTTGCTTCTTAGATCTTCAATGTTGGCCTTTGTGTCTGTCTATAGGCAATTAGGTCATGTTTTACTGACGAAAAAGTTCAGAACAATTTAACTTTACTCAAATTTTTAGATTTATCTTTAAAAGTCTTTTTTAAATACTCTTAACTTATCTATCTGTTGAAGTGTTTTTAAAAAAATATCGATAAAAAAACGAACTAGTTTCACTGACACATTATCCATGACGTAACATATTATGTATACAAATGTTATGCTTACAGAATACCAGCGTATAAGTAAATAATAGCTTGTTCTTGCTTTGTTGGTACGTTAATGTGTAAAACAGGAGACCCTTTTTATTAAAAACGAGGCATTCCATCCAAGTCAATAAGCAAGTCCTAAGGGGTAAAAACGCATCTACATTTTGTTTTTGATCGAGTATAGACGCCCACACCCCATTAACCTATAAAAAAGGCGTATTATCAAACACAATAATATTTTTGCATTATCAAATACGGTCTCTTCGGTTATATCGGATTGACGTCACATCGAATTATAAAAGTGAGTGAATGGAGTGCAGATTATCTATTCCATTGACTCTGATTGCAATGATCAAAATTCGGTCTGTAGGACATTATTATTTTGAAGCATTATTATTTTTAAAATTACTTTTACGGATTTTTTCGCGTTTAATTTATTTTATTTTTAATTTGGGTACTTTCCAGCATCCATCATGGTGGACTGAGGTGACTGACGTCACGATGTCACCTTCTGTACCTTCACCTGTGTTCACCTGTGTACCTCCAGCTTTTTAATTATTCTTGGTCCGATCTACGCAGAATGAACTTACTGTGTCTTGAAGTCTTGCTGTGGTATGCTTGGGTTTAGTTTTAATTTTATTAATTACAGGGTCCCAAACAGCTGGTAGTAGTACCCAATCTCCTTCTCTATTGAAATTAGGATGTTTTTAAAAAAGCACCTGAAACGTCGGGAATTAAAAATCAAATAAATTAAACGCGATAAAATCCGTAAAAGTAGTTTTTATTAATGTGTAGTGTTCGCGTAAATATAAGAAATCATTACATTATTATTTATTAATTACATTATTCTATTACACTATATCCTTCGTAATTCCCAGAATTCGATATTAATCTTAAGATATTGTAGTGTTCGACATCGACCGAGAAAACGTTATCAAAAATCATTGAGCTTATCATTATTAATTTGTAAATTATTATAAATAAAAATAATTTATAAATGCATACAACAATGATACTCTGGATAGTAAGTATAGGTAGGTTTCGATCGTCTAATTGAAAACTGCATGCATCATCTATTTTTGTTTGGTTTTGTTACATTTATCGTATTTAGTACCTCATCTATATCTGCCCATCCTTTCGGTTGTGTTTAGTAATTTTAGCATTTTTACTACCTGCGACCTGATAAAAGTTGTAAAATCTACCATAAATATAAGGGAAGCGCGAGCGTTTTTAAATTAGACCAGTATTTAGTTATATTATACAACCCATTTGTGTAACCCTCTTTTCGTAAAACTTGGTTGCAAATGTAAAACTTTAACTAAAAGAAACACAAAAAACGACAACAATAGCCAAAGTGAGGATATGTTGTGTAAGGTGGCTCTAAGTTGTAAATTCGTTAATATAAGTTATAATGAACTATTTCTGTAACACCCTACTTATATTAATTTTCTTCTTGCAGGCAATGGGATTTACGCCATCATTCTCAAAACGGTTATTGACCTTCATCCAGGATGCAATGCCGATTCGTCTCAAAGAGGTGCACTTTGTAAAACAGCCTAGAATCTTTGATGTCGTGTGGAGGATGTTCAAGCCATTCATCAGGGACAAGTTAAGGACTAGAGTAAGTTGCAATTATAATTAGTCTACGGTACGGTGCCTACACTCATTTCTCTTAGATAGCCGGTGGTAAAGAAAGATTGCAAAACACAGTATAGAGCACACAGTTCATCTGATGGTAAGTGGATGCTGTGGCCCATAGACATTTACATTTATCAAAATCAAATCAAAATGATGCGTTGTCACCCCTGAGGGCTAAGATGGAACGCCTCGTTTCCAGTAAAAAGGGTCTCCGGTTCTCTAAACTCACCATACGAAACACAGCAGCATTAGGCTGCTATTTTACAATGGTATTCTGTTAGAGCGTGGTTCTATCCCGGTCGAGCCGACCTATTCGTACTAAAACCATATAAAAGTTGCAGCTTGGCTCTACCACGTCGCAAACTATATTATATTAATATTTGATTGAGCGGCGATGTCTGTGTGTAACGCAGAGGAAGATTATGAATAAAGTTGTTTGTGGATTTCGTTAGCAACTTGTAACAGTGATGATGATGAAATGAGGGGATCTCTTTACAATGAGATATATACAGATTATTGCTTTTATTCTTCTTTTATGACTAATTATCTATTACTGATACTCATCGCTGCATTTCCTACCGTCCGTACTGAAAAGGGCAACTATAGGAAAAATCATGCAGACTATTATGCCTCTGATATACAGTGGTACACCATGTTGTATATATACCTGGTGTAAAATATCCAGACAAGTGCAAAGAAAAGAAAAGAAGATACGATTTTGCAATTAAAATTTTAAATCTAGGTAGGCTTCTTTTCGATGTTATAGTGTGCATTTTATATTGAATTGAAGTAGTGTAAGTGCGAGCCTCTTAGTTGTGTGGTAGACGTCGAGAGGTATAGATATTTTCGAACTGGTGATATTTTGCGAACAAAATACAGAAATGAGATTTGAAGATTGAAAATGCGAAATGAGATTTACCTACATACAGACCACTAGTAACTTGATTATAAGGGCACAAGTGTCTTCATAACCTTGACTTGATGGATGGTACTTTTGAGGATTCAGAGAAAGTCCTAAAAATGCATTCATTTAAAATTAATCAGAGAAAAATAATCAATATTAAATTATTATTATTAGGGCCGACTGTCGGCGTAAGTATGTCCACCGCCTCATGTCATCTAGTGAGTGAATATGGAAAATGCAAGAAAAATTCTACTGGCTACCGACAGATGGCGGTATAATCATTTAGTAGTTTACGCTAGACGTTAAATACCCACACCGGGGATGGGGAGCGAAAGATGCGGGCGACGTGTGATACTATGATCGCTAATGTATGAAAGACTTGCCAAGTTGGCAATTCCTCAACGGCAAAGGTTCATCCAGCAAGTTGACGAGTTGGTGAATAAGATGTTATTTTAAAACTATACTTTCTTTTTTTATTATTCCGCAACAGTCAAGGATTTGTCTCAATCGTCACGCTTATCGGGCTTGCCTCAGTGTGACAGCTAAAGCACATGAGTAGATAAACGGAATTATCTACTTATGTCATAGACCTAGAAAAAAGGGCGGACAGAGTCTTGCTAAGAAACAATTGACGCACCGCAGTGGCGGGCGTTTAACTATGTGTGAGTAACTACGCGAGCGCGGTTTGGAGAGTGATGGCGGGCGGTAGACTTACTATGGTGTGCATGTGTGCGTGCCGGCTTGTTTCTATTAGCGAACTGACTTACTATGGGTGCGTCAGTAATATTGTTTTAAGAGACGGCGTCCGCCCTTTTTTCTAGGTCCATGACTCATGTGGCTAAAGTGTATCCTTCAATCCATTTCATATGGGTTTTGTAAGAGACTTAGGCTAGGCCAGTGAGAACTAATGGAATCGGATCGATGTTTGTATGATCTTACGTATCCATTACAGCCTATAAAAGTCCACAGCTGAACACAGGCCTTCTCCATAGATTGCCTCATAGGTGGGATTTTGCCATAGTTGGCAGGCGCGTTGGTAAACGCAGTATTTTTAATAACTTCTGTTGCATCTTATGATACCCACCGGACGATATGGGGTAGTGGATATTTTTACAACATCACTACACGGTATCTTACTTCTTAATCTTGTATATTATATCTACTAGATGTAAAATACCCAGACCGGTGATGGCGAGGAGTGTTAAAGGTGCGAAGCTTCTGGTACTGTGACCGTCACTACAAGTCACGAGAAATTGACAGAGATAATATTATTAATTTGTTTTCAGATCTTCTTCCACGGCGCAAACATGTCTTCCCTTCACAAGCACTTGGAGCCGAGCCACCTGCCAGCGGACTACGAGGGACAGCTGCCCGCCATCGACTATTCGGGCGCCGACTGGTACCCCGTCATAGAGCACGTCATGCCGCATATCCACAAATGGAACACATACGGATTCGTGAAAAAAGCCTAGAGCGGTGTTTTTATTTCTATTTTACGAGACCGTTGGAGAAAAATATTTAATAAATACAAAATGTGGTCTCCCTTAGCATTCTTTGTACTAGCTTAATCAATTTATAATGTTGGCAACTAAGAAAGTCTACTCGAAGGATTTTCAATAGCTATTCTAGTTTGTCTTTACATAAAAGACTCTGGAAACAGCTACAGTTATGACGGTCACATGTAGGTATATAAAAATAAAACAGTAATATAAGAAAAATAAACAGTACATAAACACTGCCATCCAAAATAAAGGTGGTTGTTGTATTGTAAAATGTTGACTAAGATTGTAAAATAGAAAAAAAGCATTATATTAGTATGTTTCGATCTGTATTTCGGAAAATTTATGTAAGATGATAATAATGTAGTATTTGCATTTATTTTGAATTAATTTACCATGCGATTCAAATAAGAATGGGACTGACCTGGCATTATATTGTGAAGTCATAGCTTTCAGTTCAAACCAGTTAGGAGAGCAAAACAGATACTTTTGAATTAATTAAGATATTTAGGTATTTACAAACAAATACAAAAGAACCATGAAAGAAAAAAAATTGATCGGAATGTAGCACTTCAATAATTAATTAAATTAATTATTTCATTATGTATTATTTATTTGATTATTTTTTCATTATTGTTTATTTAATTTATTAATTTACTTTTTGGCGAAATGTTAACAATGAAAATAGAAATAGAAACCAAGAATTATTATTAAATAATTTTAATAGATTTGGTAATATTCAGTTAAATAAATACAAATGTGGAAAAATAATTTTCTTTGCAAACCGTAGCTTTTATTTGAATTGCATTGTACTGTCATAAGTCTTTCTTTTTTTAAACTGGCTTTACGGCTCTGGGTTTAATCCGTTCTGATCCTATCATTTCTTTCAGAATCTTCATTTTTATATATTTTTTTCTTCACAATATGCTGATGCGTTACATTGCGAAGTTTTTGGGAGATTTTGACGACAACTCAACCCAGCGGACAGTTGATGACGACAGTCACCCAAGTTCAAGGGCGCCCAAGCACTTGTTTCGTCGTTTTCTCTAATAGTTCACACGCGCGGACGTTTAATTTACAAAATCGCATCACTTTTACGAATCAAAATCCACTTCAAACCATTATTCAAGCGACAAAACAGGGGTGACAATCCGTTGACGGCCAAGTTCTCGCCAACACTCCCCATAAGTGTTTCGTATTCCAGATATCATAGATTATATTAACTTTATAAATTGTACTTGTAATCTATGCAGAGTAAGGTGGCTATCTCTGTGTATGAAAAGTTTCCGTCGAGAAGCGTCCAATTAGGGTAGCGCTTCGGTAGCACGGGTGTCAAATTTTAAAGATAGCGCAAAATCATTTATCAAGATAATTATAAAAGTAAAAAATTGTTAATTGAATAAATAATAGTACATATAAATTTATTTTACATACTGTTGGTTTTTCTATAAGAAAAAGACAGAGGCAAATTTTCACTTTACAAACTTTTCCCTTTATTATTGTTAAATTGTTTTTTAACCTTTACAACAGCAAAGACAATAAAACCATAAAAAAGTATATATTATCAAAAGCTTACAAAAATGAAATCAAACTCCCGTTATCTTAGAACTTTTGTAGCTTATGTTTACTAAATTACTTTTAACTACGTAAATGAGTAATATACGTTTTATACACTGTAATATTCTCGACTACACAAGTCAACAGAGATATTAAATTCTTCAACTCGGCACACTTCACTACGTTTACAACTGCTAAACTCATATAATTTCCTCTTGTTACGCTACCGCTATTTAGTGGGTTCTTGAACTATAATTTTCTGCTTACAGCTGGACACATTTTCGACTTATCTCCCACATAAGATGGTTCTCTTTACCTTTACCCTCCATATTGTAATGGTGCTCAGCTTCATCAAAGATAACCAAAACAGGACTTAGATTATAGTGTTTATTTCTAAGCCTAAAATTATAGATATTAGGCATGTTTACGTATTTGCAATTTTGTTATTTTTAAGATTGGTTTATGTTGGTAGGAAAAACTAATTGTTTAAAGATACGTTTAGTAACAACGAAGGGTGGCTCTACGTCATAACTATTCCTATAGGTAGCTCCGTTTAAATTTGTTAAAATATTGTGTAGTAGTAATTTTTAATAATATTAAGTATTGTTTTAATAATTACTTAGTACAGCTACGAATATTTTTGACTGTTTCCATTTTTCGCATTACAATTTTTACTTTATAATCTACTAAATAATTGTTAGATGCTATCCATAATTTATAAGCGAATCTGAAGTGAATTTCATGACTTATTTTAATTAGATTGTTGAAGCTGTTTTTTGGGGGTGTATATTTATTTAGATTTACAGAAGTGCTAATTATTAATGACGTGCACATTTAGATATTGAGGCTGTGAATGTGATAGTGCTGTGCCAGTTCTACAACATATTCACCAAATTATAGATTTTAAGATAAATATGGTTATATGTTCTATCAATTTACATTAATTGACATAATTAGTTCCTTACATTCCATGAGTTTTGTATGGTAATAGGGATATTTTTTTAACTTAGACATTGTGTTAAAAATCTTACTTTATAAATACGTATCATTTTATAAAATATGTGTGGTTAGTGTTATTTTTGTGTATAGTTACAGATTTTCTTTTAAAATGTAATGGGACCAATAATATTACTGTTACAAATAATGTATTTTGTTTATTGGGCTATTTCATAATACGTAACGCTGTCGTCAAATGTACTGTAACGTAGGTTTGTGTAGACAACAGCATTATTTTTAAATTAAATTTAAACAGTCTAAAATATAAAACAGTGTTGTTAACAAGAATGTGAATGCGAAAATTTCAAAATTGCTCAAAATGTAAAGATATTAAATTTTTGTAACAAAGTCTTTGTATTTTATTGACATACTTATCTACTACGTAATATGACTGCGTGACCTGGTTGTCGTTGCACGGGTTTTCTGAGAATCTGAATCTTAAGCTGAACGCACATTTGTCAGCACCGTAGGCGCCGTAAGAGTCGCATTTTAGAATTCGTTGTATGAAATCATATAGAACCTCGCACATTAGAGCCGCACCGTACGCGCCGCATTTTATAAAATATGGTATGGTTCATAAAAGATAGCTTAATCTCTGCGACAGCTGTCAGTAAAATCACGCCTATGAAGTCCTGAATTTCTTAGTAGTACAGACAGTACCTGTCAATGTCATAATTTATAGGCATGCACTAATTAGGTCGGCTTGCCTGCTTTTGGCTTGAATACTGACTGAACATTAGACAATACTGACTATCAGCACGCGCGTTCGGCGTTGCCATTTTGGTGGATTTTCCACTAAAACTGGTGGTTTCGACTTTCATTTCGAAATATATTTTTACTTTATTTCAACAGCATTTACCTTTACTGCATTGGCAAAAATGAGCCGTCACACAAGACTTTTAGAACTTTTAATTAATACGTAATTAATTATAGGTACATAATTTGAAAAAATTGCATAAATTATCAATATGAATACTTAGCGACAAAATAATTTAAATACACTTAATAAACAAAAACAAATTGATAAGTACTTAATTTTAATTCAAAAACCCAATTACACCTGATTACTTAATTATCAATAAAAATACTTAATTATCGATAAAAGTCTTTCCTTTGGTTCAATTGACCTTCTTAATCTTGAGTTTTCCATAGAGATATAGGTATGGTTTTAGTATATGTAGCAGTTCTTGAAATTTTTTGTGTGTTAAACACAAACGTAAAAATCGTTCATCATGGAATATATTTTTAAATAAAAAATAATATTCTTCATACAACTGCCTTTTTAAATTAATATCATTAATCCAGAATCTAGTTTTTTTTCGAATTTTAATTTCTTCTTTCTCTGACAATAGGCAATGCTTTACTGAAATTTACCGTTTCACACTAATGTTTAAAAAAAACTGCAAAAGTTGTTGGCAATACAGAAGAATCGCGTACTGCGCGTACGGTGCGTATTAGCGCATAGCACCATATTATAGCGCGCTATCCCTCCATAACACATAGTGCGTGTTATGTACGTAGTCAACATGGCGCTATTGCGGTATGGCGCTTTGGCGCTATTAAGTATTAATATTTAGCGGCAACTAGTTCTAGCAGCTAGCACTAGCAGCAGCGCTGTTGGGAGAGGACGTGTGATGCAAATTTGATCTCGTAGCACGCTATTCATCGCGCGCGACCTAATTTAGTGTTAGACGTTGTTTAGTTTGTGTATACTGTATATTTATAAGTGATCGAAAGTTACAGTTGTCTGCTATAAAAGAAGTCTAACCAATGTTTGAAATGTAAATAAAATATAGATACAAAAGTGTATATAATAATGTACGCAAATAGTTAAATTTTATAAATACAATCAATAAACTTTTAAACACACCTTTATTTGATTTATAACTTATATTAAGGTTAAAATAACGTTTACATCAATTATAATAAAAAATAATTAATTTTATTTAGTTTTCAAAAGTACATGCTTTAAAAATATTTTTAGGATTATATAAAATCGTAAGCCTGAAAAGTATGAAAAATTCTAATTGGTTTTTCCTTACCACTTTATTTTATTTTTATCTAAAATGCGACTTTTACGAAACAATTTTCTTATATAGCACGCGGTCAATCCAATGAACGACATGTAATGTAGCGTGCTCCGAGATTTAGCGTGCTGCTAAACTTAATGCGCTTGTCGGCCTCCTACACGCTTTATAGTATAAGTTACATAGCGTATTTAATAGCGCGCTAAAAATTTATAGTTTACAGTTTGTAGCGTGCTATTGATTTATAGTCGTTTTGAACAACTTTAGTGCGTATGGCGCGTCCGGCGCGTACGGCGCGGACAAATGTGCTTAGGTGTGATTATTCGTGTGCCCCTGTTTTGTGGTCACTACAGAGTTCTACCTCCGACTTTAACAATATATCTATATATAGCT